CGTCTGAATTCATAAATATACATATTTAATAAATCTTACTTTAAATCGAATTTAAAAATTAGGAAAATATGATAATTTACATTCTTAATTCGCAGTAAAAATTAAAAAAATGATATTATATGTCAATGAATATTTTTGAAGGGTGTGTTCACAGATTTAGTAATAGGCCACTGTAGAAAGACGAAAAATATAATAATTATCGTTATTAATTCATAGTAAAAATTTACGTTAATTAATATTTATGTCAGGATTTTTACAGGAAAGCTTAAAAGATTTGGTAATAAGATACTGACAACCGTACAAAGACGAGGAATATAATAATTAACGTTACGAATTCTTAGTAAAAATTGCGAGATATCACCGTATTTTAATTAATATTTTTGATAAGTCTCGTGCAGAAAAGAGTGAAAGATTCGGTAATAAAGTACCAGCAGACATACTTAACCACCTAGAACGGCGTTTACTCGTGAAATGCTCTTTCCTTTATCAACCCTATATTAACCCTCGGACGGCGTCCATTTGGACAGGGCGTTTCAAAGGCTTCATCTAATTTCTCATCTTCTGCCGGCTAACTCAACACTTTGCCTGCCGGAGATTATTTAATAGTCCTTTAAAAATCAATGATCAACGGTCAAGAACCTCTTGATGTATTATTCAATAGCAATAGCAATATTAATTGTGCTAGAAATTGCCTGGAATTAGGTAAACTAATCATATGCTCGAATAAAATTGATTAGATCTTTTTCCATGCAACGAAATGGCCGTCGACAATTCTCTATTGATCATCGTTTCACGATTATCGAAAATACGACGGCGCTGTTGTGCAAAATTATTAATGATACAATCAACCCATTTATTCGGGTTTTGCGGCTGCATAATTAGCTATTGTGTTATCGAATATATTTAATTGCGCGTATAATGAACCTGTGTTCTTTTTGATTTATCCTCGCCGCTTCGGAAGTCTTCGTATTTTTCATTTCCGCATCAACTAGCGATTACCAGCGAGGCAGATTAATTACTGGAACGCGATATTTTTCAGTAGTTTCGCGAATTTTTGCTACCGAACTATTATGAAGGCTCAAATAATCGTATTTGCTCTTCCCAAATTGTTCATTTTTGTTTACAAACTGAAAGAAAATTAGGCAGAATTTGCTGTACTTCGACGGAATCATTTTCTTAGACTAAGAAATTAATATTTACGCTAATCTGTTATACCCCTTCCTAATATTATTTAGAATCGTCAAAGTGCCAGAATGTTGATCAAAGTAATCGATGTTATGCAACTTGTAACTTTACAATTTTAATTTGACTGAATAAAGTATTCACTCTCATTGTGCAAAATTGAGGTCGACAGCGTGTCAGTCAAAATGTTAATAGGTGCATTATTGAAAAGAATTGACAAGTATTGAAAAGCTTTCATTGTGTGCGATCGTGCGAACGTTTAGCGTGATCTAGCAATTATCGCGATGTATGTACGGAGTCAACGCGAAATACTCGCTGGATTCGAAACAGTAAGATAGCTCCCGATCTCAACATTTGCTGGGAATGCCGAATGAATGAATAATCCCGGAGCTCATGCTGTACGTATAATAGATAATGGACGATTACGCTAGTCCACGAGCGGATTACCGGCTAATATCTGTAAACACGTGTAATTGTGTACAGAAAGAGAAGACGCTTGCAAGGATTCGCAAACTCTGCGAACAGGATCAACGAGCAGAAACATTCTAATCCCCTCAGTCGAATCGCTCGTATCACTGTTATCAACGCGGCTGCAATTTTGTTTATGCATAAACAACAAATAAATGATCTCGAGAACAGCATCGCCACGATCTGCGTTAAATTAAGGCACTGTTCTAATATGGGTCTTCATGTAATTGACAAATACATGATCGATTAAGTTACGACTTAATTGGTTCAAGATTTAATTAAGTATTAGAAATAATTCGCGTTTGATTCGAAGGTTATTTTATCTCTTTGTATTGAATTCTGCAAGTTTCTCACTGATTTATAAGATCTAATTCTTAACTGTGGAAGAAAGAAAAAAGTATTTCAATGCGTCACATTTATATTTATATAAATATTATATAATATTATATATATATTTATATTATATATAAATTATATAATATAATATAATATAATAATATTATATATATATAAATATTATTTATATAAATAAATGAATAAAATAAATTTTATATATTATAATTTAAAAGAATGCAACAAATATTACACTTCTATGTGTTAATGAAAGAACCGGAAACAAATAATTTTTAAAATAATTTCCAACGAGTATTATCGTTTCTGAAAACATAGCTAGAAAATTTTTACCTACCGGGCAAAGCGGATTCGCAGAGCGGGCAAAAGGAACAACGATGAAAAATGGCACATTAGTCGTCACAGTTCTCGCAAAAATAGGAACCATAACACTTCGTGCGTCCATTCCTTGCACGAAGAACATTCAATTCAATCCACTATGGGAGAGGCTTCATATTTCTCGTTGCACACCGTGCAAGAGTAATCACGCTTATTATTCTCTTTGATACTCTCAACATTTTTGGCATATCTTTTTAGTATATATATAATCTATAATATATTATAATAATATATTATAATAATTACTCTATATTATATAGAGTTATAGTTTTTCTTTGCAGAAGGAAAACTCAAATTGTCCATCTTTGTCTACGAACTGAAACAAAATTCAAAAACACAATTTACTGTACATCGATGTTCTCGAACACCTTAGATCACTTTTAATAGGAAGAAATACTTGATTCTCGTTAATAAAGTAGTAAATTAACGCGAATTAAACAAATATGTGTATTTCATGCTCATCAAACATAACGAATGGTATAAAACGATAAACGAATGTAAATATTTCGGTCTCTGATGGAATGAAGTACAAGATTAACAAACATTCTTTCTTGTAAAACAGTCTTCAACCGCGCACATCCGCCCGAAGTTTAGATCTTGTTAGATCGCCAAGCCGGCCGTTGCTCGATCCTCACATACGAGACCGCAATTGGTTAGAATTAATTTCAACGTTGGCAGTTCACCCTTCGTCTACGACTGATATTTTACTGTTGCCGGCTGTCGTTTAAAACGGCGCATGACAACTAATCATTTGTAATCGGTAATAATCGACGGGGCCCAGTTCCAGCGAGTGACCGGCTATTAAGAAACAATTATGATTTATTAATCCGGAGGCTATTACCCTTTCATAAATGGAATTAATCACTCTGCCGTACTTGTTGCAATATCCATTGGCTCGCTGCAGAATTCTGTTTCAATCACAGATCGAAATATACGAGTGTCTCTCGTCTCTGAAAACATTCTGTTAGCACTTTCTAATAGCATTTTTAACTCTTATCGGGAAGAATCGCTATAAAAGTGTTCTTGTGGAACAGATGTTCTAGAATTTGCATAAATAAAAGTCATTTTAGGACACTTGTTAGAAAAAGTTTTACGATACAAATAGAACTAATTATGAAAGAAGACACGAAAATCGTAATTATACATACTTTACGTGATTAATAGATTTTATTTACGTTTTTGTTTACAACTTGGTCAGAAATACGTGGAATACATCAAATAACTCGTGAAATATTCGTTGTACGAAAAAATGTTTCAGATAGAAGTTGCACGGTTTACAGAAGAGCATATAATTCTGTAATCCGTACAATTTCTTCCCGAATTCGGATAAAGCGTCAAATTCTACAGAAAAAGGTATTATACCAAATTAGGTCTAAAATAAATAGTGACTGAAATATTGGCAAAAATATATTATGAAAATATAATTAGAAAATTATCACGTTAATCAACGTAGCTGTTAGCACAACACAGTAAGAAAACCTCGTTCACGAGCGGCTAATCAGCGTTGTTAATTATTTATTAGAGAATTAGAAAGTAAGAATTTATTTTAGAATCTACATATTTGGTGTAATACTTTTTTTCCTGCAGAATCTAATGCTTTATACGAATTCGGGAAGGAATATAAACGATTCCATAAAGGAAAAAAATTGTAAGCGACTTTCATGCTTTGGTGAAAGAGTAAAATCGCGTAAAGCTGATTTCAGTACTCTTATACGTAAACCAAGCAACTTCCATATGAAACATTTTTTCGTACAACGAATATTTTATGAGTTCTTTGACGTCGCCACGTTACGAAACTCTCCCTGCATAATATATAAGTCTTACAGAAACGTGGTTTTGCACGTCTTGATTAATGTATTAGAATTAGTTATTTATACTAGGACGAAAAAATATGAAAAATAATCTGAAGAGGGGAGAAAAGAAAATTGTAACGTTTGAACTAAACGAATTTGGCCTGAAACAATTTTTCGTATCGGAAAAAGTAACGAAGATATTAGGGTGTGCAAGATTACATACACGTGAAACACTCTATATAGCACTATGGTAACATTATACTACATGGTAATTTTACAAGCAAAATATTTTCTAAATTTTAGGAATTCAGATTATACCTATTGTTGTTTGGAATACAATATTTTAATATCCAGAAAGGAAGATTAACGCTAATTTGTGTAGCTGGGCACTATAAATGACGTTTACATACAGTTTACATTTAAACAAATGACAATGAAAATAGCTTTTTCGGTGTGGTCGAGATAATTATACTCATAATCAAAGAAACAACTTTCCATGTATTCAACCCCGGCAGAGTGGAGCAGCAATCGATTATTTTGTGATTACTTTCGTAATTGATTATGATACGTAATCACGGCAATCGTGATCATTAATCATTTAATCGTTAGTAGAATAAATCAGTAATCACGATTACACTAGGTAATCTTCAATCATTAATCAGTAATCTGTAATCGCGGACGAACGATTGCTATTGAAAACTATTCGAGATTATTATTAACTATTATTTAGCAATATTTTTGATATTAATAAGAGCATATATTTTTACATAAAGGAACAGCCAATATATCTTTCGAGATATATTAATATATATAATATGTAAATAATTAACATACATAATATATATATATAATAATATAAAATGCAAACATCCTCAAATACCCAATTAATTACCAAGATGAATCAAACGCAGTCGTCTTTTGTTGGATTTATTTAATAAAATTCTTAATATTAAAAAGAACATATCGCTGCATAAACAAATGACAATATATCTCTCGAGACGTGTGTAGAGTGTGCAACAAACATCCTCGAACACCACCGAACTTCTTATCATAGCGAATAAAACCGAGGAGATCGTTATCAAGATTCCGAAAGCAGCAACGAAGCAACGCCGGCAAGAGGTCATAAGCAACGACGAAAATTATATAGTACAATAAATATTACTAAATTTATGAAAAATCCATTATTTCTTTTCAGAACTTTTCGGTAGACCTAATATTTTCGTAATGCCGAAGGGAAATCGAATTCTCTTTGGAACAAATATATTCTACAAAACGTCTAAGAATATTTATCGATCATTCTTTCCTCATAAAATTACTGGCATCGATATCGTATATAGCTTTTACCTTGAATCGAATACTTTTCACGCCGACTTTAGACCATAAAGTTCGATCTCCGGACGATGTTTCAGCGAGATGTTCTCCAAAAAGGCCACCGAAGCAACGCCGAGACACGAGAATCGACAAGGTTCGACGAGGCGCAGCCTAACAGCGGAAGTCGCAATTAAAATCATGGTGTGGTCGCGCCGCGGGTTGATGAACTTTTTGGCAAACTGCCTGTGCAAAAAGCGTGTCCTACGTGCGGGGGTGTCGAGATAGCGGCGGCGGGCTGCGCAACGGGGTAAAATGAAATTCCGACAATCGCGTGAGAATATTCCAGCCGGAAGTTAGCCGAGCAAAGAATCCCTCCCCTGGCCGCGTTTTGCCACTAAGTCGTCTAATGAAGAACAGAGAAATTCCTTGGCCGTGGGCTGTTCTGATTGCATTCGAAACTAGTTTTAAGCGGCGCGGAAGCCGTTCCCGCAGCTTCACAAAGGGGAAATTGCGCCCTTCTCGGGCACACGGGCCTGGAAAATCCGCGGCGACGTATTACATATCGCGCCTTTAATACTGCGACGGATATCCTACAGCCGTGGCGGCGCTCTTCTGCTCCGCGGGGCCGGAGGGAATCGCATCGAGAAAGAATACCGCTGTCGGCTGTATAAAGCGAATCTTTCCCTCAGGTGCCATCGTAAACCGTGGAATAAAAAAAAGGAGGGCATAAGGGCGAGCAGTTTTTATGGGGCAGCGTGGAGACGCTTGCCTGAAGCTTCTTTGAAATGTTTCCGTCGAGTAGGGAACCGGATCGGTAAACAGATAACTGGTTTGATCCTGCTCGAGGCTTCCCGAAATTGAAACCTTTTTGGAGAATATCTCGCTGAAATTTCGTCCGGAGATCGAACTTTATGGTTTAAAGTCGGCGTGAAAAGTATTCGATTCAAGGTAGAAACTATATACGATAGCTATGCTAGTAATTTTATGGAGAAAGAATGATCGATAAATATTCTTAGACGTTTTGTAGAATATATTTGTTCTAAAGAATTTCTAAAGAATTTTGAAAGAATTTTGATTTCCCTTCGGCATTACGAAAATATTAGGTCTACCGGAAAGTTCTGTCCGTTTAAGAAATGAAAGGAAATAATGGATTTTTCATAAATTTAGTAATATTTATTGTACAATATATTTTCCGTCGTTGCTTGTGACCTCTTGCCAGCGTGATGGCGATTTGAGAGCAACATTTTTCAAAAATATATGTCTCGAATATGTGCATATTTATTGAAATTTGCGATGACATTATCAGACAGAACTTTCCGGTAGACCTAATATCAACACACACACAGACGTGCATAGTTTTACTTTGAATTGGTCACTGTACGAATACTTTTCACAGCGACTGTACGTTTAAACTCGAAGCTTAAGCAAAATGCAAGGCGCTTGATTATTTGGTTTTGTTCGACGACTTCCGAAATAGCGAAGTTTTTGGGAAATGCTTCGTTCAAATTTAAATGAAACGTTCAAGCAACGCGCCAACTAGTTTGGTCGGTCTTGTTTGATGCCTTACAAAATTCAGAATGTTATTAGTGGACTTCGGATCTTATGCAATTATGGGAAAATTGGGTAGCTGTAATTTAAAATAGTGAGAAGATCGAAAGAATTTAAAAGTGTCAATGTATCACCTTTATTCACTTAAAATTATTACAGAAAGAACTTACTATTTAGTTTATACTTCTCGTAGTTGAACCAGACAATTTTTATGTCCCATCTTTTATGTCCCTATAAAATGTCCACATCTTTTTTCTTGATATCGTCAAGTGAGGAATAAAATCAACAATTAATTCGATATACTTCGAAGCGAGATGTTGCGTTATAACAAAGGCAACGATGTTCTAGAACGTTCAAATTATGTTCGCAATTTTGTTGGCTTCGACAGCAAAGCTGGTTTTTGAATCACAGTTCGAAGATGATATGACAGTCGAGCGTTAAATTTAAATCAACATTTAATTTTGATATTCGATCAAAGCGTTCCTGATTTTATGTTGTTCGATGTCTCTCAAAATGGATAATGATTTAATAATCTCTCGACGGTCAAGCTGTGACTTGATGGACCACTGTAAACAGTGAATGAAAGAAATGAAAGAAATAGAAGAAAAAACACGTTCGGAGGCCAGAATTTGTACAGGGACAGAAAAAGACGCCCACGAGTCTCTTGTTTGTTACAGAAGCTGCATCCGTCAGAATCAAACGTTGACACTTGACTTCAATAAACACGCGTGCCATAATGTTTACTTTAATTTTTCCCGATGCACCCGGTGCGAAAATATTTACGAAATTTCATTCCTGCTAAAAATATTTGTGCACCGATGCTTTTGTTGTTATATGCGATTCGAGGCTACGGCAAATACCGCATTCTGTTTAGCTCGATCCGCAGTGCACAGACACAAATTTTTTGGTTAATATTTTCGCTCGAATTTCCTAGCTGTCATATTATTTTCCTGAGAAATGAATGTAATAGTGACCTAATAAATGCAATAATGGCCAAATATTCATCGCATTTAGTTTGATCCAGAT